AATTTGATATTAGTTGTGATATAATCAAGCTCTGTTAATACAAAATGATTTTGTTTAAAATGCATTTACTAAAACAAGCTTCCTTAATGAAGACTAGAATAAAATTGAAGAAGAATCAAAACTAAAGAAGAGGCTCAATAAAAAAACAGAGTTGATATTAGCAATTACAGAAGGTGTTGCTTTTTAATGAAATACATAAATTAAAGTTGCTAAAGGCAAAGTGATTTGAACAGACAGTGGATAAGACTAAATACTGAATAAAGAAAACATCATTTTCATGTAAATAATGAGAGACGCAATTTACCAACTCTATCCCAAATAATAGAATTGATTATAATAATTATTATTATTTGTACTATTAAAACAAACCATTTTGATCTTTACTCCCCAGACTCAACAGGTGCAAAGGTAGTTAAGTAATGTTAAAATAAAAAAAAATCACATTTAAACAATCCTTAGAAGTTATGCCATAGATAATTTTTAATATTTGCTTTTTGATGTTTGTTTTTGTTTTTTACTTTTGCTTTTTGGCCAGGTGTTTTGTGTTGAACATAGTGATATGAATATATTTAGGCCTATATCTGACGTCGCCATGGTTACATTGGGTTAGTGCCTCTAATAAGTTTGTTGTTTTTTTTGTTTTGTTTTTTGTTTTGTTTTTTGTTGTTGTTGTTGTTTGTTTGTTATGTTTTTTGTGGGGGTTTTTTTAGTCTCTCTTGGTTGATCATCGTCCCAAAAACAGTCATCTCCTCACCAAAGTGTGGCGCTGTTTCACCCTCTGTGGTTTGCAGCATTTTACTGAGCGTTGCTGCTCTGCGTGTGTTAAGGCACCGAGCTTTTAACAATTATTTAGCAGTGCTTATATGAATCGGCTTAAAATAAATCTCTAATATGCTCATAATGAATGATATTAATTGAAGCCATATTGGAGGGATCCTGTGGCGCCCAAACCAGAAAATGATGATTTCTTAAATTCACTTTTTTTATGTGGCTTTTTCCCAAACACTTTGACCAGAGAATAACATGTTGCTTTTTTTTTTTTTTTTTTACACTTTTTTTAAACACTTTTTTTGTTTGTTTTCTTACTATAAGATAGGCCCATATCAAATGAATGTTCTTCCCTTGATAATGCGATTTCTTCTTAAACATTGTCGTTTGCACATTTCTATTCAGTGTTTTAGAGAATTGTAATGTTATTCCTGACTGCAGAGTACGAAGCTCAATATACTAAATTAGAGTAAATTCATAATTTCTTCCTTTCAATCATATGAACTAAATGTAAGTCCATTCAGTTTAGTAAGTCTGCTATATTGCGTAAAGGGTCAATGAATAATTATTTTTTGTTATAAACACAGCGATGCTTTAACTTTAAGGTGGTATTTTATTTATTTTTGACAGAAGTCTCTGTATTATATCATAGTCTGCCTAGTTCAGCATATGATCATATGAGATTCTCCTCATTTCATCGCTTTATTTCAAGATGAAATCCATAAAATGTGTACTTTAGCGCGCTTTGCATCTCTCTTTACGTCCTTAAAATTATCGAGGCCCTCTTTGACAAATGTGATAGGCCATAAGCCGTCTGTATTCCCTCCTCCTTCCCTCATCCTCATCATCATCCTCATCATCATCATCCTCCCCTGCTTCTTCTCAGCTATCTCTCTCGCATGTTGCCTACATCAGCTCCTCTCTGACCCGCTACATTTGGTAAGAAATTACGTATTTTTTCTCCATTAAGAGCAAATATAATCTTTGATGGCAGGGATCTATCGAAAAGGGCAGGAATTGAAAAGGTCTGAGGACTTTTTTTTTTTTATTGAAAAGAGCTCTGCTTGTTTAATCTTATATGCTCAGGTGTAAAACCAGCAAAAACTCCATGATTATCGGGGTTCTTTGGCTATTTCAATTAATAAAATAGACGCAGGATTATTATTACCAAATTTTTGTAGGTTTAATTTTTTTGGAAACACAAACGTCTCAAAGCAAACCTAAATTGATCATTCTCGATGTAGGCTACTATTTTTGAAGTATTACAGTATATAGGAGCATCTCTTAAGGCGATCTAAGTTGTATTTAGGAGATTTTTTTTCGAAATATTTACTAATCTTCCGAGGACCTAGGTATCATGAAGACCAAGGTTCGGTCCAAAGGTGGTGGGCTCCCATTTCTAATGGGTTGGTTTAGAGCTATGAAATAACTACACTGAAAAGAGAGACTTTTCTGTCTTGTAAATATTACCTCGGTTTTAAATTTTAAAATTCACTCCAAAATGCCATGTAAGTGCCCTTGCCTCAAAATGACACATTTTATTTAATGTGTAACTTAGAATTAATTTGCAAATCTACATCCATCAAAAGACAGTATTAACAAAACAATTCAAATAAGTTCCCAACTTAACAGATGCAAATAATATGTTATTGGATATTAGGATGGTGTCTTTTTCTTTGCTTGACCATGTTTAGGTTCAAAATACCATATATTGTTTATTTGTTGGCTACAATGTTGCCAGTTTGTAGCACTGTTGCCTTACAGTGAGGCGGTCCTGGGTTCCTGCAGGGTCTTTCTGCACGGAGTTTGCTTGTTCTCCCCGTGGGTTCTCTCTGGGTACTCTGGCTTCCTCCCACAGACCAATCACTGTTAGGATAATTGGAGCCATTCTCCTTGCGTGTGTATGGTTGTCTCTGTGCCTCTGTGTAAAATTCACCAGCAAAACAAAGGTATATCTTTTGTTGATAAGAGAAATTTGGTAGTAAAATTTATTCGAGTTTTTCAATTCAAGAAAA